CGTGTCCATTACTAGTTTTCGCGATGCAGGTACGTTTAGCCCCAATTCGAAGCACCGGCAGATTGGCGCGTGTGCGTCACTACGCAAACTTTATCGGCTCGAGAGTTAAACGCGGCTTTGATCGTCGTCGATTGCGTGAATTACTCACGACGCATTACGTAAAGCGTATTAAGGTAGTTGTATTAACCATTACTTTTCTATCCCTGATAATACTGTTAGAAAGGTAATGGTTAATACAACACGGAGAAACCCGAAAAATGTGTGCTCGCGCTTGCGCGTGTGTGTGTGTGTATTTAAATATCTATATATCACTTTCTATTATATGTGCATTTTTATTAGTTCAATTGACGTATAAATAAAGCAATAATGAAAAAAATAGAAAACTAATAATATCTCCATGTGTGTAATATTGTATGTAGATTTATTTAAATTTTTTTCAAAATTAACATTTATTATTTAGATAGTTAAATAAAGTTAAAGGAAAATATTCTCTTTAATAAATATAATATTAAATAAGCTTATGTAGGGGCTCTTTAATATTGTCACTGAAAATTCGACACTGTATGTACTATCTTAAGCGTCAAAATGTCTAATGATTATCACAATATACCATACAAATGAAAATTAGTTTCATTCAATGGATGAAATTTGATCGAAAATTGTTAATGACGATAGGAGAGATTCACTAGAAAATATACAGTAAAAGTGGTAATCTCGTTTTAAAAACGAGTCTTTTATCTTATTTTGTATTATGTTTTTTTATTATGTCTTTTGTATTATGTCTTTTGTACTATTTTGTATTATTTTATATTATTTTGTATTATGTCTTTTGTATTATTTTGTATTATTTTTATTTTAAACTATATACTTTATTCCTAATATTTTTTTCCGATTGCTTATATATTTAATTACTTCTTCCTTATTTCCCCTTCATTGTGTCTAATCCCTAAAGTTATTATTATTGATACTATAGTAACGCTTATACACTAATAGGAAAATAGTTCTCCTAACTATATATCTTTTACTGTGATGATTACACTGTTAATCAAGTATCGCCAAAGTTGGAGGTACACGTTAAAGTAAAATCCCTACGCAATTACAAGAGACAGTTCGAGACACGTACGAATGAATTTGGAGATATTACGCAGTTATACCTCCAAATTTGGAGGTACATACTTTGTGACACTTCCAAATTCTAGATACGTATTTCAAAATGTTTCTCGTGAAACATTTATTTCAACGTGTACCTCCAACTTTGGCGATATATAGTTAACAATGTATAATTGCAAATGTCAAATATTTCTCTGTCAGGCCATTATTCATAGTCAGATCTTACATTTTAGACAGTCTGAAGTATATCTTTGGATGCATTGTACCCAATAAAATTATCCGTACAGCACCTGAAAACGAACTTAAGACGATCGTAAATATAAGATCTGACTAGAAATATAGGTCTCAGTGCTTTCTTCGGACATTCTGGAAATTCTCTATCCGACAGCCAATCGACATGTTCAATAAATTCGTCGTACAAGTGAAATTTTGGCCCTATAGTCTAAAATGCGCCGACTAGCATTTTCTTGCGAAAAATTGCCCGAATGGTTGCGCCTTGCCAGCCGTGCACTTTTCCGTGCCAAAGAGTGCAGGTGGAAAATCGCGATAATTATTCCTTATTTACATACTCTTATATTGCAAAACGAAATAATGCGCATTTCAATCGTACGTTGTAGTACATAAAAAACAAGACAACTCATGCATCGTGATTAATGAAACAGATAAAATGCAATATCGAAGCAACGAATAAACACGTTATCGCGGACAGACGCGGTGGAAAACAAAAAAAAGTAGCCTGTGCTAATGTGAAGTAATAATTACATCTGTTATGAAGTTAGAGAAACTACGATCCGAATATGACAATCTAACAACTACCGGTATTATTTTTCACGCAACACAGTACGTGCTCGACAAATTACGGTGTGATCTGTATAAATAATTCAACAAAGTAGAAACAAAGTATATGAGATCAACGACTAGGTTTGTGCCAGTCGGTAAGATAAGACGCGTATGTTTTTTTCTCAACTATAATCTAATTGTATCTCAACTCGGGTTAATTTTTACTGATTTTGTCAAACAAAACAATTGACGTAGCTAAGGTAACGCGAACTTGCAAAATTTGTTTCCATTATTTATCTATCCCGCAGCGAGTATTTCTTAATTTTTTATTTTATTTTGCCGCGCTATGGTGTTTTCATATCTCATACAAGTAATGGTTCGTCAGCGTGCTTAAATTGAAAGTTGCATACTATAGCACATGCTATATTTTTTAGTATCTGCATTTTTGCACTTTCACATAACTTTTTACATAATGTGTCACATATGTATGACACTGACCTCTAATGAGGAAGATTGGTACATCATATATACAGTGAGCCAATAATTATCGCCATTTTAAATATCTTGGAAAGGTAAAAGTATTTAATTAATAACTAGATGAGAAGACGAAAAAAGTTTATATTTACAAGTATTCCAAGTGATAATTATTTATCAATACAATTTTTATTAGATAAATTCATTTTTCTCCCTCACATTTCGAAAATATTCAGAATAGTAATGTTCGTTGCTTCATCTTATACACATGGTCTACCAAAAGTTTCGGAACAGCTAATTATTTCAAAAAATAATTATTAAAAAAAAAATGTTTGCAACAAAAGTTGTTTAAAAAAGCTATCAGACATTTTGCTATTGATACTTGTTTGGCCTTAGAATGACCTTGAAAAGTGTTATTAAAGTCAACATAAAAATCTTAAATGGAACCTCCTATTTTTCGTTACATATTCTTATAGCTGACGTTGAGATGTTTTCGAAATACTGGTTACATACTTTTTTTCCATAAGAACTTTCCGAATTATGAGGCTTGAAAGTTGTAATATCGCCGGCATTAGCATTACTCAAGGCGTACTGCGTGGGGGATGGTCGGATTTACACTTCTTTTGTGTGAGTGTGTGTGTGTGTGTGTGTGTGTGTGTGGATGTTTCAACATTTCTTTAAATATACGTATGTCCGCTCGATCGACGAATAGTCCTCGACGCGAAAATTCGGTCTCTATACTAATATCGTGTTTCCAGCGTGCAACTTTGCTTGGCACGCGAGAGGCGAAAGAAATGGCGAATGAATCGAGTGGATTTGATATATCATGCGTACTCCGCCTTTTTACTGAGAAATAATCGTTGGCACAATGTTGCGTGTGCAGCTACCAGTTCCACGACGGGCACACTAGGTCGCGTTTTTCCTTGAATTGCGAAACAAGTTTTCTTAATACTTGAAACGATAGCAGTTTTCCACGAAAATAATGGCGCACACGTAGAGGCGCGTTGTTACAATGTCGGGTGACCACAACTTCAGGCATATACGCACGCCACTTCATTATTTTTATATTATGACATAACTTTAAAGCTCTCGGAAGGATGCGTGACGCGAACTTTGATAAAAATCGGTGGCGCAATGTCAAGTTGCGTGACACCAATGATCTTTAATAAACTAACCAAGAACTCCGATGCTCTCTCGCTGCCTTTCGCACTTTTCCTTTTTTACAGCGATAAAATGTGGCTATCGATCTAGTGTGCTCGGGTGTAGTCAATTGTGTCGACGGCTACTGTGGGACAATAATTATCACGGCAGAATATCAAGAAAGAAGCCTTACATTTATAAAGTAAATCAACGAAAAAGATTGCAATTCGCAAAAACTTATATTACTAAAAATAATTGTTTCTGGGGCAAAGTCATATTCTCAGACGAATCTAAATTCAATGTCTTCAGTTCGGATGGGCGGAACCCCTATGTATGGCGAGAACCAAATACAGACTTGCAAGCAAAGCGTTTAAAACGAACAGTCAAACACGGAGTTGGCAATATCATGGTATGGAGCTGCATGGCAGCTAATGGAACTGGAAAATTAGTGTTTATCGATGGTATACTCGAGGAGCCTGCTTATCAAACATTTCTTCAACCATATTTGCCAATTTGGGAGCAGAAGTTACAGGATCTTTTTTTATTTCGTGAATTATAGTTTTCTCTTCTCTGCTTGCCAATTTTTTCGGACGACCTGAACGAACTTTATTGGCAACAGTTCCTTGATTTTCAAACTTCTTTATTATGTAATGCACTGTAGATTTACTTCTGTTTACAATTTTCGTATTCTCATTATAAGATTTTCCGTCTCTACGTAGTTTTAATAGCATTTCTTGTTCACAGTTTTATATTTCTGACTTTTTCCTATTCATATTCATTATAACACTGCACAACTGTACGTTACTCTTACTCAAATGATGTCTTATGATCAACTGAATGTTCCTTTGTTTACATTTGATGTTAATGTTTACATTCAGTATTGAGATACAAACCGAAACACAAATAACTTTGAAGAGTTCGAATACTTTTGTTACCCATGCCTGGTGCGTATTTCAAGAAAATCTGTCGTAAACACTATATATACGATTGGATTATTTTCTAATTTTACTAACATAATCTTGGTACTTCTTTCTTGCTATAGACATTAATTGTTTTAAGTATTCAAGAATAACATACATATTTTATGTGCTAAAGATAAAAAATCTAGCCGTTCGAATACTTTCGTTAGCCACTGTATGTCTATATTACCGACGAATGTACGGACAGCTTTATTATTAATAAGTAAAAATCATTATTCGAATGTCACAAATTGATATACATTCATAAACGTTCCACTTACTGACCTAAACATGACAGTTTATTGTTAAGAACTTATATTTATACTATTTGTTAAATTTTGGAGGAATAAGTTATAATTTTGATACTATTTTTTAATTTTATAATAAATAAAATTTTCCGCTTACATTTTCTCTTTAGAAACCGAAACATTTATATCATTTTATATCATATTTATTTAGATGGTAATAGAGACAAATAAATATTCCAATACCGATTATAATAATATACATATATTAATTACAAAAAAATACCTAACTTGTTATTTTTTCGTTTGCAAAGTATTCTTTAAACTTTCCCCGACTTTAACAGTATTCAATCGACACAATTTCAGTCACTTGAGATTAAAAATAGTTGCAAAGAAATGTCAAAAGACGCCTTACATCAACGGCCAATTTCTAAAATGTTGGCGAGTAACTGTTCAAACTGTCATTGTTAGCAACACATTTATAATTATAATATTCCGGTATTTACTATAGCTTTTAATTTTATTCGACACTTATTATAACAGATAATATATCAAATTTAGAATAACAATATGTTTTTTAAGGTAATCATGGAGTTATATTATTTAATTTATTAAGAAGAACAGATGCGATTTTCACAAATTAGGAAATTGCCACGAATTGGAACGTTCGCTTTATATAAACAGAAGTGAATACAATCAATAACGACATCGGAAAAATGATCAAACTTGAGGCTATTAAGTATTTATCATTGAAATATTAATTCCTATTTCTTCAAATATGCATTCAGTGCTCTATTAGCAGAGTTGTGAATAATCCTTAAGCAACAACCTATATCCCTTCTACGAATAGGTTTGCGATATTGGATAATATATTTTTACGGTAAATCATCCATAAGACCGATATTATGAACATCATCTTGATTATATTGTGGAGCCAATCCATCCTGAAACATGTAAAGTATCGTTATATCAAGCATCGTCTCATATTCTTCTCGATCTGCCGGAAATTTCGCTAGTATCGAGCAATTTGTATTCTGCATTTTTTAAACGAATGAATAAAAGCGAATATTAATTCGTAACTAAAAAATTTTGGTCAGTCGCTATTGGTACTTTACAATTATGAGAATGAATAAATCATTAAACGTTTTGATATTGATATCGACAAATGATTGACATCAGAATCCAATCTTTCATATAAATGAGAAAAAAAACAGAATTACTCATCAGAGATTGTCTTATGATTTGCACAACACTTTTCAATTTTATATCTATTATTTTTTGTTATTTTTGTCACTAGGTTAAATAATAATAACAGATTCACTGCTGTTGCTTCGCTTCTTCATCACCTATTATTAACCGTTAATCACTATTTCATATATGGCTACTATTAACCGTCTGATAAAGTTATTATTATTATTACTATTATTTCCTGGAAATTGCGATAAAAAGAGACTGTTATCTTGCATTTAAAAATTAAAGATTGATTTGTAATTCATTTCGTGATCAGTTACAGGTCGTTTAATTAGTTATATGGAAACAAAACTTTACAGTCAAGGTTCTATTATATCGGGAATAATCGTGGCGTTACGTAATCTATTTTGAATATCTTTTTAGAACGATTTATCAGGCTCGGGCAGGGAGGGGGATTCCGATTTTAATAAAATCCGAATAAATGTTGCAACGGGCTAAGTCTCAAGAGATATAAGGATGATGGCCGCGCATTACATAACTACATCTAGTATCAAGCTAATTACGAAGCATTTCCTTGAGGAATACCGATTCGAATTCGACGAACTCGGAAATCCGAAGGGGAGGAAAAGTCGAAATGAGTATTTCGCACGAGACAGGGAGCATCGATCATGATTACAATAATTACGATCAGTTGACGTAGATTCTCGCCGTATTTTACAAGGAAAATTAATGCAGAAGTTAATAATGAGTGAATCAGCATTATGCATAGCAAATAGATAGATCTCGCCAAGATTATTCTCTGTTTCTCGACCAACAGTGATAAAGAGTGTCGTGTTTGTGTCGTTATGCGCGATCAGCTTTCGGCTTGGACTTTCCAAAAGTTATTTTCATCTTCAATAAGTTATTCTGTTTTTACGCGTTACATCAGATCTTGAGCCGTTTGCCAGTAAGCGGTAAAATTTGACATATTCTGATATTTTTGTTACTTATATGATCGCTTATAAACATGGGGAATAAAAATGAGGATTGTGAGCTTCATCGCGGACTCCCATTTATGTGTACAAATGCCAGATTGTGTAAATGCAAAATGCATAAAATACAAATACGTAATCACAATGGACGTAAGCGTGATTACGATTGAGCAATTTGCTATTTGCGAGTACGCAAAAGACATGCGAACATTTTATATTTAGCAATGCAAATGCATAATATGCGTAAGACGGAAAAATTCGATGTACGTTAATAGGTTCTGACACATCGGATTTTTATTTTAAATATCTTACCAAGTTCGCAAAAGGAATTCTGCTTCGGGTTTTGTGACGTAAATCGGGTATGTAAGAACAACGCTTTTACACGTGTTATGATCCTTGGAAAAATTCTCTTGCACGTTAATACGAAGTTGTAGTGCATAAATACATGTAGTGTAATAAAGGAGAAAAATATTAAAAAGAGAGAGAGAGAGAGAGAGAGAGAGAGAGAGATATCAAAATTCAAAAAAGATATCCCCTATTTCTAAGTGACCGCAATTAAGAAGAAAAATGAAGCAACATCTGGTTCTTCTGGGCAAGACTAAAATTAACAAGTTCCTGAAAATAGTTTGGCTCACATTACAATTCGCGCAAAACTTTCACCGGTTGCCAGTGTGCTTCCACGTTATGACCTAATTTTCCACTAACGACCGAACAATAGACTAAACAATAAAACTTCGCAACGCTACGTAAGACGTTTTCGTTAGAGTGCTATTCTGAATTTTTTCAGTTGTTTGTTACTTCTCTCTGTTTCTCGACCGACAGTGTGGATGATCCGTTCATGTCGTATGCAGTATATGTATGTCGGTGTGTGTGTCCGATAATACGTCGGGTTTTCAGAGACGACAGATAAGATAACTCGATTCAAGTTTCGCAACGACGGAAGCCTTTCAATTGTAATTGTTTGTAGCTCAAATACTACCAACTCGTCGCCACTTAGACGAAAATAAAAAAAGTCGGTAAATATATATATATTAACGAAACTTTTTCCAATAACTCTGACATATATTAAGAAAAGTATGCTGAGTAATATACAAACAATTTCAGCTGTCAGACATTGTTTATTGCAAAGTTATTAACAAAAAAATTTCTAACCTGAGAATCTATATTATTGCTTAAATACTCACTGATTTGGCTGAATTTTTATAATATTATGTATTTTTTGCGTAAAATACGAATTTTAAAGATAAAATCGTCGCTCTCAATTAGAACAAAAGTTACAAATTGTTAAAAAAATGATAGGGTATACAGATTAACAAATCTCTTTCCAATGACTCTACCTAAGCAGCACGTAAACGTTCGAGGAATGTTCGATTTACGTTCACTTGGTTTGGTTATATTCAAAAAAAGTGGAAACGTTCGAAGAACATACGTTTTGGAACTTTTAATATATATCTTACGTAACAAAAGTGTCGCAGTATCATATATATATATATATATATATAGCGTTTAAATCTTTTGCCTTACTAAATTTATATATATATATATATATATATATATATNAAAATTATAGACTCTGAAAAGATTAGCAAAGGCCCCTACGCAAGGCGTGAATTTATAGGTGCATTATAATATATAAATAAATATTTCAGCAATAAGTTGTTGAAGTACAAACCTTGTGTAGAGACCTTTGTTAATTTTTTCAGAATGTATAGTTTTAGTATATGATAGATACTCATTAATTTAGTAAGGCAAAAGATTTAAGTATATATTGAATATATTTATAAATATAAATATTGCAAAATATTTAAGCAAAAAATCACACTTACATGACATTTAAATCTGCTAAAGGAAATCTGTCGTGTATTGTGGTGGAGTAGAAAGGCTCCGTCTTTCCCTCGCAGCTCTTCCCCGCTTTAATCTTAACACAATCCCAACTCTAACCCAACTTACATATAATTGTGAGACATTCATAATATTCTTTAATAAATGTTAGTTCTCTCTCTACTCCACCAATATGACAGATTTCCTAACCACACAATCATCAGATTTTAAAATTGTTTTGCTAATAATTTTGTAATAAACCAAATCTGACGACTGAAACTTTTTGTATGTCATTCACACTTTTCTTAATGATATATGTCAAGGTCAGGGTTGTTGGAGAGGAGTTTGTTAATATATATATTTACCAAAAATTATACGCAATTAAAAAAAAAGACTGCCGTTTCCGCAGCAGAAGACAATTATTTGTTCCATTAGGTTAACTCACCTCTTACGATGTAACCTGGCTGCTTCGAGGTTTTTCATATCTTCGTTTAGTAAGTAAATTTTTGAGCCGATAATGCCATTCCTGGAAATATAATACATGACGTGGCGTCACAGACAAGTCAGATTTTACGGTGTCATAATTTGTAGGTAGTTGTATATACATATGTATAATTACTTGAAGTATTCCCGTACATCAATATTCATTAAGTCAGCTCCAAAATCCTTAGCATTTTCAGCGTTAAGATTAGATAATATGTTAAGAGCTTGAGAATTTTTGAAAGACCACTCGTTCAACAGAAAATACGACAGGGCACTGTTCGATACGTACACTTTTCTTTGCAATTTCAGTAGCCTAGAAATCGAGCATTTGAAGTTTAATATTTCTCGTTAATACTTAACTAGAATATTAACTTTCGTCTTCGAGACGTGGTCTCCGAGACATTTATATGAACCCCTTTCTGTCCTCTTTTTCATCTCACCAAGATATTTTATTTTATACAGAATGTTCTAAACCGTAGCTCAGACAAAATAATTAATTCCTTACAAATGCGAATTTTACAAAATGGTACATGACTTTTCTGTTCACGGGAACCGAGAACAGTTTGGAACACCCTGTATATTTTGGAAACAAAAATTATATATACATATATATATGTGCGTACACGCACGCGCGCGCGCGCGCGCATACACACACACACACACACACACACAGGTATAAAATTTTGTTGAGTTTCGAAAATAAATCTTACATTGGACGTGCTCCGCATAATTTGATGATACTATCTATGCATAACGCCGGGAGGACGTGTAGCAATAACATCAGGATGTAATACATCCAACGGTTCTTGGTTAATGTAGTATGTGGAGACCAAATGATTCCTTCGATTGGGATCTGCCGCACTATTTCGAAGCCCGTCTGCTGGATTTGCATCATGTTTAATTTTTTCAGGCTGTTCGATGAACAGTTGTAAACATGAGCCGTTTTATCTTCGGAGATGCTAAATCAGAAGACACGTTACGAATGCACAAATGCTCGCACTGAATGTCACGGTGTCGTGTAAGAATTACGTTTATACGATTTCAATCAGCAAAGTTTTCTTTCTGAACTCATGAGCTTAAGAAATTGACGAGATACAGTTTCTAATATTCCAATTGTCATTTTCCACTACTCATCTCGAGCTTATGAAGGGTGTGCTATATAGACTAATTTTCGTTTAATTATAAGTATCGGGCATACGTTTTAAGTCCGCGGTGCCAGGCCGTTATAATCATCAACTTGACGATAAGATCTACTGGTATAAAGTCGCTGACGACGGTAGGATCGGCATAAAACACGCGTAAGATTCCCTTGCCACCACCGATTAGCGTTCCGATTGGTCCATTGAAGTTGTCGAGCCACCCTTTCACGGGATCCTCCATCGTCGATATGACTAAAACAGAAAAAAATGCCGATGCCGCAGCACCTCCAACATCTCGACTCGCTTTATCGCCGCGATCGTTCATCGCCATTTCATTCATTCGCTTTTATCACGTTCTTTTCATTATACGATATTTAAATATGTATTAAATGATTATCTCTAGATAGTAAACTTGATGGGTTATCCGGGGTGAATCGAGTTCTCTGTTTTACTTATGACAGCGATATTTCTAATTGCATTACACGATAAAAAGAGCGAAAATTATTTTTGTCATGTTTTTCTAATACTAGATACATTTTAATGCTAATATTATAATATTATTTTTCTTTCTACGTAAAAATATTTAATTAATTTTATTCTTATGTAGTGTTCAGTAATTTCAGCAGTTTTCTCCAAAATATTTTCCCTGTTGGGATTTGTAACATTTAAATTTGTTCAATTTCAAACAATTAGTTATATGATATCTTAAAGCAAATTTTACAGTTTTTATTCTTATTTTAATGACAGAACGTTGCGACAATTAGCTTTATAGATTAGAAAGTTTATTGTATTTAACTTCCAGTTTCAGAAAAGTAACAAAATTACCGACTGCACAAAAATGATAGCTATTAATTGTAGAATTACTTTCGATTAATTATTTGTAATCAATTACTTATTATATATTTTGTATATTTTAATAATTATTAATTTTATTTCTCGTCATTACAAAGAATACTTGACTCTTCAAGAAACGAAACGTCACGCATACAACTGCATATATTGGTATGGAGGATTTCCGGGTAAATCGATAAGTGAAACTATGCGTACCTATCGAGGGCCGCAGAAGAACACAAGGCAACGATTCGGAATAATCGCTTATCACCTGCTCCGCTAGCTTCTTTGTGAAGACGTAGGTGTTTGGCATGTTTCCTATGTATCTGAAAATAGCCCGAGCATATTTCGAAGGTGAGACGATGCATGCGACGATCTACACAAAAGCGTCGCGCTCGTAACTCACTTCGCCGTCAGTATTCTCAGGGTGTGTTCGTCGACGGACTCGGCAATCTCGATCGCTCGTCTCCAATCGATCTCCGGGGGATATAGAATTTCGTTGACGACGCATTTGTCGATCTGAGTGTAGGTTGAACTGACGTGCAACAGGACCTTCAACCGTTCGCGCAATTAGCGTACTCGTAACTCCGCAGTTGCCTGCCTTCTCTCTCTCTCTCTCTCTCTTTCTCTCTCTCTCTGTTTCCTTCTCTTATGTTTCGACATTCCTCGAATAAAATCGTAAGCGGTAATAAAGTTTGTATTCTGCGCCGATGGAAATATTTTCCCCAGACACGCAATTATAATATTCATCTTAATAGATTGTCACGCGTTTCCAACATTCGAATTCGAGATCAAATTTCCATGTATCGTAATTAATTATTCAATTATTCAAGTAAGACGGAAATGCAGAGGGAAAGTACCAAAACTAGCATAGGTATGGTATCTATATACTCATGTTTCTCCGTTGTAAAGTATTGAGCTCTGTGGAATAGAATATGAACTTTGTCTACTTGAACTTTGTATACAATAATTGGAGTTGAAGTAACAGTTTCTATTTGCAAGCGCGCACAGTTGTGCTATCAGTGTTGTTTGATTTTATTTGTGCCGAAGTTTTTGTTGAGTTATTTTCTCGTGAAAATTAAAGTAACAAATCAGCGGTTAATTAACTAATTTAATTAGTACTAACAAATTTATCTGGCAATGCTATTTTGTAATCTGAGTTTTAAACTTTTCAAATCACTTTGGATCTTATGCCAATCTCTATCTGCTGCCATTGAACCACACAAGAAAAATTAGAATTAAATTGTTCTGTAAATTGAAATGCTTGCGTTTATTGGTTGGTTTTTCAACCAACATATCTGATCTTTATCATATTGCATATCTGATTTTAAATATCATTTCATAAAATAAAATTGAAATGATTGGTGATTGATTTTCGCCTGTTTTTTTTCTTGTTTGTTTTTTATAGATGGAAAGAAAAATTCAGAGGATTCTTTTCCATATAACAAAAGAGAAATATACATAGTAAAATTTTTAGTTTTAAAAAATATGTAAGTTTATATAAAGATAATATGTAATGATATACATATAATAAATGTATTAAAAAATGTATAATTTCAGTATGTTATTTATTTTTATTTATTTTTTGTTATAATTTCCTATAGATGTCATATGGGCATGTCAGTTTTATGGCTTATTTTGCTATAAAAGTGTTAATCCTCATACATCTTAAAAAATAATTACAAAGAATAACTGCAGAGAAATATATAATAATTTTCACAAGATTGTCATATATTTTAGTAGAGAAATGTTGTTGTACCCATGCACATAAATTTTAATTTTTCCACCTTCAACATGACTTTAAAGTTTAAAAACAATAATAAAAATGGCGTGTCGGTTTTAGTGCTTTTCCTGTACTATTTAACAATTCTTAGATAAATTTATTTTATAAAATCAATCTATAAAAACCATCCTCTCTCTCTCTCTCTCTTTCTCTTTCTCTCTTTCTTTGTATGTATGTATGCGTATGTATGTGTATGTACCATTATTCAAGTAATGACGCTATGAGTAATTCGATCATGATAAGTGATAACTTACTGCTAAATTTTTCATATTACTAGCCAAGATACAAACGTCCCGTGTTGATCTAGTGTTGTTAAAAATCGCGTCTTTCAAGCTGTCGTCAAATCTTACACTTGCCGCAACATGGAATATTACAGACACTTTGTCGATTATCATTTGTCTATCTGCAGGCGACAACCCTAAGTCCACAGCCGCTGCGTCTCCCGTTACGGGAATAAGCTTGTCAAAACTGGATGGTCGCTCTGTTTGTAATTTATCGAACAGCTATAACAAAAACTGACAATCATTCAGAGACAATCACTATCTTTCATTGTTCGTTGCGATTTCATCCATCAGTACTTCGGTAAGTTTCCAAGTTCAAAATGAAGGAGAAAAGGAAAAAAATGTAAGAGACCAAAAATCCTAAAGAATTGAAATTGTATTGTGCGTTTATCACTGAAGAGAGTCGTAATCGTTTGCCAAACCGTTTGAAGAATTTAATTTTTATATTGTAGGAGAAAATACCAAAACTGACATAGGTGTGGTAAACCGACATATCCATGTTTTTTAGCTGTAAACTATAGAACTCCGTTGGATAGAACATTTTTATCTACTGTGTACAGTAGTATAATTGAAGTTGCAGTTTCTGTTTACAATACATTCAGTTCTGTTATTAGAGTCGTTCAATTTTTTGGTGTGTTAAAATTTTCGTCGAGTTGTCTTCTTGTGAAAATTAAAGTAACTAGTCAGCGGTAAATAATTTATTTATCAATGTTATTTTATAATGTGATTTTGAACTTTTAAATCACTATCAATTCGGTTCTTGTGTCAATCTCTATCTTCTGTCACTGGAAAACGCAAGAAAAGTTAAGATTAATTTGTTCCATATACTGACATACTTGCTGTGAAATATCATCTCATAGAATATAATTGAAGCTACTTGTGACTGATTGTTTCTGTGTTTCTTGTTTGTCTGTTTAAGATGGTAGGAAAGAAGTTCGTTACATAATAAATAAGTTACAAATATCGTAAATTTTTTAAAATATTAAAAAATATGTAAGATTAAAGATAACATGTAAGAATATATCATAAATGTACTATATCATAAATGTACAAAATAATGTAATTTTAGTGTTTTTATTTTATTTTTTGATGATTTGTTACAAATATCACACATACACACACACATACAAACATGAATATGTCGGTCCGGGGTCTAGTTTTTAGAAGCGTCAACTCTCATACATCTTAAAAAATAATTATTTGCAAGAAAAAATATATAATAATTTTGAAACCATCATATATTTTTGTAGAGAACTGTTATTAGATTGTATTCATGTACATAAATTTTAATTTTGCACCTTCAACAGGACTACCGAGTCTAAAAACAAAATATTATGTTGGTATTGGCGATTTTCCTCTAATTAAAATATAATCTTTCTCGCAACGAATTATTTGATTTAGCTCTTATGGTGGCTTTTCATAAAATTTTATGATTGTACATCTTGTAGAGCTTTATCATAATTACAAACGTTTACTGAGAAATTGAGCAAATTTATTAGACAAATGCGTGTATATTCATTAAGCGATACTGGTCTACGATTTTCTTTGATGTACACTATTCGTTCCGTACTTACCTTATTATTCAACATTTGTTTAAGCCTATCGTTGGCTCCGATTCTTTTTTTCGGTCGCATCAGCAGAAATATTTCCACGACGTCGGGGCAAGACCGTAGCAGCTTTTCAATTAAGGCTTTTCCTATAAAACCCGTTGCACCTGTGATAAATATGCTACGACCAGCGAAAAATGCCGGTATAAACGTTTGTATCGTATCCTTCTTCATATTTGAACAACGACCATGAATAAGCACAAAAAGCAGAAAGCACTTTCGATCGTGCGAATGAATGATGCAACGAATGTATAATAGAAGGGGAAAGTATGATGTTGTTTTCACAAATTTGAGTCGTTAAAAAGAGAGATTTTGATGAACACGAATGACATAATTTTATATAACATTCGACGCGGCGTTAAACTCGCGGTGCTTTATTCCTGACGACGAACAAAGGTATGATTGAATTAGTAAAGCCCCGAACTTAAGAATTCTTTTGATGAAAATGTTTTATTTAAATAGGTTATTGAAGAATAGGGAAAGTTCAAAGAGCATGAGCTCCTCCATATTGATGCGTTTATTTCCATATCTTATCACTTCCGCAATGATACTTGTATTTGAGTGTGGCGTTGTAACTAACCATGTCATTATTCGTATATACAGGGTGTCCTAAACTACTCTCGGTTCCTGTGGTGTACAAGTAGACCGGTTGAAATTGACGGCAGAAAAGTCATATACTATTTTGCAACATTAGCAATAGTGAGGAATTAATTATTTTGTCTGAGCTAATGAACGCACAAAAAAGGATAGACTGGACATTGTATAAAGAAAAATTGCTTATTTCTGAAGATCTCCTGGTAATAATGAGCATCAGCTGATTTCTAAAGACAGTTATCCAGCAAGTAGCGAGTGACATGCGATACAGAACTGTGCGCCGGAAAGAAATACGCTTTTCGCTATCAGTTGATATTCATCGTTATTTGGAGATCTTCAGAAGTCATTTTTTTAATATCTTTACATAATATCCCAAGTGAATGTAAAGCGAACGTTCCTCGAACGTTTAGGTGCTGCTTGAGATCTAGCCTATCCCTGCCTGTGCGCTCATTAGTTTAAACAAAGTAATTAATTCCTCACTAACTATTGCTAATTTTGCAAAATGATACATGACTTTTCTACTTAGTTTCACCCATTCTGCTCACACACTACAGGAACCGAGATTAGTTTGGGACATCTTATATATAGTAACAGTAAGATATGAATTATGCATTATTTTATTTGTATATTATATTAAAATAAATTAGTGCATATTGTAAATTATTATATACTGTGAAATCATTATATGTTACTGTACGGAAGAGCCAGTTTCTTGAAAAAATTCATAAGAACATGTTTGATTATCAACAGTATTATCAACAGTCGGTAACAGTGGAAAATTTTCGGTGTTTTTATCTTAACAGATTTACGCGAACATGTTATCGGAATAAACGCGATGAACACATTACAAACATTTGTTAGCCTTGGAACTACTAATACTATCTCGTTAGCTCAGTCGACCGGATACACGGAGGAAACAAATTTTGCTAGAACAACAAATGTTTGCCAATATAGTGACAACAACCAAAATTTGTTTAGACAGCAAAAAAATTTTTAGACAGCAGAAAGATTTGTTAAGAGTATTAATTGCTATTTGCTGGATATGTGGGCAATTAATAATCTTAACAAATCTTTCTGCTGCCCAAACAAATTTTTTGCCGTCTAAACAGATTCTTTTTTGTTGTCACTATATTGACAAACGATTGCTGTTCTAGCAAAATTTGCTTTCTCTGTACCAGCCACCTTCTAATTATATCGGCCTAACTTTGGTACTGGTAGGGTTAATTTTCTTAAGCAATTAATTTTTTTTTAACAACCATAGATAGATTGCTCTATAATACATCACTAAAATGGCTATTTATAACAATACTTTACAAATAGCCTTGTCACTGAAGTGATTGTTCGACCGCTAAGCACAACAGTCTGGTATAACTAAAATGGCTTTTCAATCAACGGGTAAAACACTGTTGTATCACCATAGTGGTTATTAGAAGTAAAAGGGTTAGTAATTATCTACAATACATCTGCGTTTCAATTGCTCTATGATCCATATTAGAAAATGAAACTCATGAGTGTTTAACTACGAGATAATAAATTTTTACCTATATACTAGTCAGTAATATAACGCTCACTTCTTCTGTAGGGGCTAAATAATGGTTAAATAAATAATTAACTAATAGTTAAACAAAAAAAAATTAAGGGATGAAAAATCTAAACCTATTTGTCGGGCAGTAAGTGAGCGCACATTGCTAACTTCTGCTTTTTTAAGATTCTTATAGAATAACGTATGTTCAACTTTGATTTGTTATCTTATTTTTAAATGCTTTAGTGGCGGATATATAGTAGCTAAATTATGTTTTTTTAAATAACGCAATCTACTTTATCGTATTTAATATATAATGGTTAGACAACGGCCAAATCGCAAAGCCGATTCTATATTTTAATGAATAATCAGCTAGTAACGATTTAATAACGTGCTAGAAAATTTAAGCTGGTTGTACTAGCTAGCTATTAGCATTATAGTATTTGATTTGGGCTATCTAGATATATTTCTATTTGATACGTCAAAACAATTTCATCGTGGGAAAACGCTATTGTTTTGCACCATTTCTACTAAATACTTCGTAAGCATGACCGTTCGTATAATTGCATGACACAAAATGAAATGACGATTTTTGCAATTTATCGATTTATTGAATAGAAATTCAATCACACGCGACATAATATATGTTTCAAGATATATTCTCTTTGACTGCTTGTACAACGCAAATATCTATATTAATATATATATATATATATATATAATATAAAATATTGTATTTTAATAACTATTTAACTTTTGCAGTTTTATATTAGTCGATAATGTTGAATATCATAATTGAATTGTAATCGTCGATAAAAGTCAATCTATATCGTTACACAATAATTCCGTAAATTACCCACATAAAGAAGATGCCGATCAGGGTTCTCGCAATTCTGTCGATCCAAATCATTCTGAAGTTACCGGAAATAAAAACATATATATATTGATAGTCATCTGTTGAATAAGATTAAGATATAGTTGTACGTCGAAAATCGGGTCAGTGTAACTTCACTTTTCACAAATCTTTTATATATTATAGTTCTAAATATAAATAGAGAAACGTAATGGTGAAAATTAGTTTTGATTGATAGTTATCTGAATCACTTAGGTGCCATTTTTTTTCCATTATGACCAAAAGCATATACCAATAAGATATATTTTGTTATATATTTTTATTATATATGTTATGTACTTTTATTCTAACACTCAATAAAACCCTTTTTTTATATATAATTACTTGCTACAAATTATGGGGAAAGTATTCTTACTTAGATTAATTATTGAGATTAATCTCCTGCAACCTAATCTCTTTTCCTTACTTATTTTTCTTCTCTTACTTACTCGTGTGCACTATCCGGGAAGAAAAGATCATATATGAAATTTACCATATATGACTATATATAATCATATATATCCACAACGAAAAAATACTGTTGTTTACAAATTATATATAAATATAATCGAAGTAAATGCTTCCGGCTACTTGTGTTTCTAACAGCACATGATATCGACATTTAATTAAATGACAAAGCATCATTTTTTTTGTATAGACATATGTAACTACATATATGGGCAAAACTCATATATGATTTTATATAATTATATATAATCATATATAATCATTTTTTCTCGGGTTAATAGTTCGAAAAATTGAAACACAATGTCTTTCGTGCACTCCGTTTTAGAAACCTAAATGTCAAAAAGATTATTTGTCAACTATTTATTTAACAATGTTGACGATGAAAGAATGTCATTCCGCTGTGGTAAAAAAATTAGCCTTACGTAGAAAACTTAGTCAATGAAAAGATTTGTGCGAAAGTTCAGTACATTTCTCTTGTAATCGAAAATGTTTTCCGAGATTTTCAGAGATTTTACCTGTTGTAATGCGACTTCGCTGCCTCCAGTTGATCCATACTTTCTTTCAAAAGATATATCTTACTTCCAATCATGCCGTTTCTATATAAAAGACCAAGAAGATAACTGTTTGCGAGTTAACGTTAGTCTGATTAGAGAATATCGTAGGCTTTTTACTTACTCCATGTACGTTAGCATGTCGTAATTATAAATCAAGTCTGTTGCGTATCCAAACGTTTGCTGATCGTTAGTTGGCACCTCGTCTGACAGACTTAACATTTTTGTATTTCGTATCTCCCATTCATTTTGTAAAAAGTACAACATGGTTTGATTAGTTACAAAACTTTTTCTCTGCAGATTCAACAATCTGAAAAATAGGAGAGATCAGGTCAAGTTGACCCAAGGGTCATGTTAACCGTGCATTCTTACTCTACATAATTGTCGTAGGAGAAACAGTTAAAATGCAAAACGCTTCTTTTAAAACATAAATAAAGGAAAAGTATTAAAACTGATATACTTATAATACCAATAGAAAATTTTCAAAAAAATTAAATAAAAACATTGAAATTATATTATTTTTTATATTTATTATATATCCTTACATATTATTATTAATTTTACATATGTTTTAAAACTTTAAGAAGGTTTACGATATATGTCGCTTTTTTATTATGTAAAAAAAGATCCTTTGATTTCTTTCTTCTAATCTTAAACAAATAAACAAAAAAGAGAAAGAAAAAAGAAGAAGAGAAAGGAAGAAAAAAACAGAAAAATTAGTCACCAGTAATTTCAATTTCAACTGTATTCTGTGAAATGATATTTCATAACAACGTTTAGGTATGCCAATTAAAAGAATACTCAGATACGGCAGTTTACAGAACAACCTAACCCTATCTTTTCTTTCGTGGTTCACTGACAGAATATAAGGATTGGCATAAGGTTCAAAATTTAAAAGCTTAAAATTTACATTATAAAATAGCACTGTCAAATAAATTATATGTCGCTGATTAATTATTTGAATTTTCTCAAGAAGACAGATCAACAAAAGTTTCATCACAATGAAAAATCAAACGATGCCAATAACAAAACGCGTTTACAAGCAGAAACTGCCATTTCAGTTGCAATTGCACAGTTGAAAATTCATGTTCTGACAGAGAGCTCATTATTTTACAATCAAGAAATATATTAATTTATCATACCTATGTCCAGCTTTTTCTCTATTTTTCCTATGTTCTGAAAGAAGCATTTTGCTATTCGTTTCTCACTGTTTTCCTTCACAAACATAATAAATACATAAACTAGACATACGATCAATATTACTCTTGGGTTAACTTGATTTGATCTCTTCTGTATATTTAAGAGATTTGATTTCCTACTTCATTAACAAATATACTCTTGCTCACGTGTGCAAAATCAATCGACCGATAGATGCTAGAAATTTAGATCTCACCTCGGTCGTCGGCCTGATAGAAATAGCAATCCATCGATAAACACTGCTGGTATTACATGTAGCAATATCACCAGCAAATAAGAAAATAAACGATTCGTTGTTACTATCGCATTGGGAAGCCAGATTACTCCGTCCATGGGAATCTTTTTCGAAATGGTGATACCAATATCTTGCATCATTGTGAGTGTTGGACATTTAAAGTGATTAGCTACGCAGTTGTACACTACTGGAAGGTTGTCCTGCGTGTTGCTGACAGAAGTTCGGAATAGTTCGTTAATTTGTTACTCGATCGACGAGAAATACGACGCTAAGAAAACTTCCCGTTGTTCACTCATTCGGAAGATCTTCGCGATTTTTACGGCAATATACAGTGCTCGTTTAACAGAATACGATAGAACATACGTCATTTTCGATCCGCGCTTCCACGCCGCGGCGATTAAAGCCTTGACGACGATATCGACTGGCACATAGTTATTCTTCGTGGTGATTTCTGCTTGTATCAGCCTCAATATTCCTTTTGCTGTGCCGATAAGCATTAATATCGGACCATTGAAATTGTCCAACCATCCTTTCACAGGGTCGTTTAACGTTGGTGTAACTAGATAGAATACCAATTTTTTAAAAATTGAAGTAAGTCATTTTCTTTATATAATGTCCGGTCTACTTTTTCCCGTGTGTTCATTAGCTCAGACAAAATAATTAATTCCTCACTAATTATTGTGAATATCGCAAAACGATATAGGTTAGGGCTTTTATGTTTACCTCAATCCGTTTTATACTCCTATGAGCTTTGGTAAGGTTGCTCTGGGACACCCTATATATTAGATATCAGAAGAAATTCTGGTTTCTTTCTTAGCAATAAATTGAAGTCGAATTTCAGTCAGTAATTCGCACGTTTAATGCATGAAGTTGGTATCAACAGAAACTTATATTTATGTCGTTAGTGACATGATATACAGCTTTCAATTGTTTCAACATTCCGTTGTTTATGTAAGATTAAAGATGGATAGCAAAAAGTTAAAAACTCGTGCTTTCTTGTTTTATGAGTTTAAACTTGGAAATCCAGCAGCAAATGCAGCAAAACGCATTTGTAGCGTGTGTGGTGAAGGCACTGTTAGCGAAAGAACAGCACAAAAATGGTTTAAGCTGTTTAAGAAAGGTAATGAATAGCTAGAGGATGAGCTGCGTTCAAGACGTCCATCTGTTATTGAAGACGATGGACTGCGTGGATATGTGCGTTCAAACCCGTAAAAAAGGTGTGTAGACGTGGAAAAGGGCCATTGAAGTCAATGGTGACTACTTCGTTAAATAAAACTATTTTTTTAAAAAGTCCAGAGTGTTTTAATTTTGACCTAAGAAACCGCACGAGCTTTTTCTGGTACCTAATATTTGTCTTAATTTCGCTCAAAATTGACATTTATTTATTGCTTAGATAGTTAAATCAAGTTGAGAAAGCTAAAAAAAGTATTTTTTTCGATGAATAATAAATTTATGTCTGGGCCTTTTAATATCGCCATTGAAAATTCGGCACTGTACAGACCAACTACCTTAACACTACCAACTGGAAGCTTATTAATAGACTTTGTACTGACAGCATCGGTAGGTAAAGTGTTAATATATCTTGCAACGACATGACAGTTCTTCGTTAAAAAGCAATTACTGCAAGAAGTTAAGAGTTATCTAGAATTTAGATTCATTCAGAAGATTTCCCAAGACTTTAAAATCGTAAATTACATAAAAAATACATCCGATAATGATAAACACGTCACATTTATTTGTAAAATATACCTATGGAGGGTCTGCAAATTACGCACGGCAACGATCCAGAGTAATCAATTATTATTTGCTCTGCGAGCCTTTTAGTAAATACGTAGTGGTTTGGCATCTTGTCTATATATCTGCAAATAATTCTATTTGAAAGTGTCTCTTCGATTTCTCGGAAATTATATTATTCTAAATATATTACGAGCGATTGTTAATGATAAGTGTCTACTCAGATAAGTTAATTTGTACAATAATAGAGAATTGCGCAATATTTACAAAGTTCTTTTCTCAACTATCAAATCATCAATTATTTAGACACAATATGTCCTTGACATAGTGCACATAGAGTGCATATCGAAGCAGCATTTCATGCATACTTTGCTTTAAACACCTCCAATATCTCCTCGTCCAAAGCCTCTACAGTTTGAATTGTTTTCCTCCAATCGACTTCTGTTGGATACGCAATTTCATCAATGACTAATTTGTCGACATGACTGTAAGCCGTGCTGACGTACAATAAAACCTTGAAAGAGTAAGATTAAAGACGTAATAATCTGACAATGGGATAGACCTATGTAATTGAATTTGCCGCGAATAATTTCCGATAGAAGAAAATTCATAATCACCAGAGGAAAAGCACCAAACTGATATATCATTTTATTTTTAGGCATTAACACGTTCGCTACCACGCTCCTCGGGCATATTTCCTTTTGTCCAGACGTGCTCTCCGCATTATTTACAAGCCAAGGGTTCAAATTAACGTGCTTATACTACGAATTAACTCGTGCCTGGCATAAGAAGCCGATAATCAACATACGAGTATATTCGTAGTTGGCAGCGAACGCATTCAGGTCTTGTTGAAGATGTAAAATTAAAAACTGTGGGCATAGATGCGAAGTAGCAACACTTCTCTACCGAAATATATGATAGTTTTATGAAAATTATTACATATTTTAAAATAACTAATTTTTTTTAGATATTTGAGAATTGACGCTTCTAGAAAGTGAGTCCTAAAAGTGACACACCAATGATGCACTTGTAAGAAATTATCAAAAAAATAAAAAGTAAATAAACTAAAATCACTGAAATTACATTATTTTGACATTTATAATATATCTTTACATGTTACTTTGAATTTGACATATTTTTTAATACTATAAAAAGTTTATAGTGTATATAGCTTCTTTATTATGTAACTAACTTTTTTCCAATCATCTTAAACAAACAAACAAATAAGAAATATAGGGAAAATCAATTATTAATATTTTCAACTGTATTCTGTAAAATAATGTTTTACGACAAAGTTTAAACGTGTGTCAACATTTACAGAACAATACAACTTTTCTTGTGTAGTTCAATGATAGATGATAAAGAGAGATTGGTGCAAAACTCAAAGTAATTAAAAAATTTCCAAATTCATATCATGAAATAACATTGTTAAAGAAATTATTTACAGCTTACGTGTTACTTTAATTTTCACAAAATAATTCAACGAAAGTTTCTGCGCAATGAGAAATTAAACGACGCTAACAACATTATCGAACATGCTTAAAAATAGAAACTGCCACTTCAGATCTTATTACTGTATACAGTAGTTGAGATGTTCTGTCTGACAGAATATAATTCTTTATAAACGGAAACATGGATATATTTATTTATCATATCGTATATCAGTTTTAGTGGTTTTCTTCTATATTCTCTCTCTCATACACATGCTAAAGCACAGTTAATCCTAATTAGCCACATGTATTTTCGAGGCTTTTATCCACTACACTCCGGTCCGTAAGATCGCTCGACTTTGCCATATTATTATTTTCATCATAATTAATATTTTTAAGCTTGTAATGGTAAGACTTAGAAATTATAAATACAAAGTCTAAATAAATTAGATGTTTATGATATCACATTAAGAAAATGATTTGGATTTATACTAAACTTATTATTATAGAAAAAAGTTTTTTCATAAAAATTCTCAAACGGTTTTGCAAGTATGGTTTATTTAAGAAAAAAATAATGTTCGTTCGTTGTAGCACCTGATATTTTCAGAAAAAGAATAGTATGCCATGTGAAAACTACACGGTAAATAAAGATATTGTTCGCAGAAATATTTAGTTATAAGCAATATAGATGCATCGCTCTACTTATCTTTGTGTGATAGATATGTGTATGATTGATATGATTTTATTTTACTAATATTTGGTTAATAATATTATGGTGTGTTAACTGCATCAATATAGTAGTGTGTGATTTTAGTTAAGGCAATCAGAACTTGAATGAAAAGACTGTACTGTAAAGCAGTGATGTTAGAAAACAAAGGTGATTCACTACTCTAGTAAGTACAAAGATATCGGCATAGCCATTAGACTCGCTGCTTACCGTCCGATCATCGTGGTAAAGCGAGAGTGACCGTACATTAAAATAGCCCGAGAAAAATATAGCAACTGTAATAAAAACAACTTTCGCAGTGTTACTGTGGCTACAACTTATCTTATGTTTGTATTTACAAAGTATTTTATCTAAACCAATATAATCAATCAAATACCACAGTTATTAAAACATTTGTAGTTGAAGTATCAAGAAAGTCTGATTAGAGCAACCAGATCATTGCTGCAACACAAGCTCAACATCACTCAACAATTGTTCTGTGGTTGCAGCAACCATACGATTAGTCATTCTATATTTTACTATCAAATCTGGTTGGCACCACCCGATTTTTATGTCGGTCAACGAGACTGTTTTTTCCGTGTAGGAAAATTGAAAAATGTTCAGCGATCCATTGAACCGGAATGTGACAAGCTAGTGTTAAATCATTACGGCTGCTTACCGTTAGATTTTTCATTCTTCCGCCCAGAATACAAATATCTCTCGTGGATCGTACATTCCTGAAGACAACATTTTTCAGTGTATTGTCGAATTTCACGTTGGCCGCTACATGGAATATTATAGATGTTTTTTCAATTAAGGTGTCCGTGTCGGCAGCTGACAAACCTAAATTCTCAAGACTAATGTCACCTTCCACAGGAATCAATTTGTCGAAACAATTGGGTTGCGCGTGTCGCAGTGTATCAAATAACTGAAGCAAACAATGAATAACGTAATTAAAATAATACTTTATGAGACCATCACACTTGCGGAAGTTACCGGGTTTGTCAGCATTTGTCGGAGCCTCTCGTCTATGTTTACACCTTTTTTCGGGCGTATTAACAAAAAGATCTCTCCTACATCGGGGCACGATCTCAACAGCTTTTCTACCAATACTTTTCCCAAGAATCCTGTAGCGCCTGTAATAAAAACGTTTCTTCCGGCGTAGAAGGACGGTAGTGAGAAAGCCGGATGAATTGCGTTTTTGTCCATTTCTTAGAAATTATAATGACAGGTGTAAAAGATTTGACCAAGAAGCATTTACCAACGTTGATTACGGAAAGCGCGCAAATTTTATCACACTGTAATATATCCGTACATGTACGCGAGATCACCTGATGTGCACCTGACACAAACTACGTGAATAGATAGATACGAGGCAATAATAAAGGTATTTATTTTATAACATTCTCACATACCATTCGTAAAAATACAAAAATAGCGTATTAACCTGTGTGTCGTCGAATAATCTGCCCACCTTTAATTTTCAGCTGGGTTTTCGTATATCATATATAAATTTATAATATTACCTGCGCATTGAAAATTCGTCCATAAATTACGTATGTGTGTGTGTGTATGGGCGTGCGCTCGTATGTATCTGTGTATATGTAATTTGATACATTTAAATAAAATGAATTTTGCGCGAAAATACATATACATTTTATTCGACCTTGTACGCGGTAAATACAATCGTTATTCTTATCTTATTCATACCATTCAAAGAATGTTATGGAAACAGTTGTACCAAAAGCCATACCAATAAGCCATTGTCTTTATGATAATTTTGCGACATTAATTCTTTCTATGCACATGCATTATTTCTCAGACAAACTGAAAAAAAAGAATATCCGTTGATTATACAGCCAAATTATTTTACAGAACATATATATCAATATAGGGCGTTTCTTCATAATTTCATAATTTCATCACTACACATTTCATAGTCCAACTGTGCACGACGAGTATCGTTGAAAGATTTTTTAAAAAATTACAAAGGGTGAGAACTTTTTAATAATTATTGTCAACAATGTTAGAAAATCATATCAGTAGACGATGTATGTTCAGTGTACCTAGATATTGGGAGTACAAATTAGTTCGGTCCGTTTTATGTGGTCAAAAATGCATTTATTTCAGAACAAAATGAATGAACAGATTAATCAAAGTATTGTCTATCGCTGGCTATTTTTTTCCACTTCTCAGGCAATTTTCGAATTCCATCTCGAAAAAATGTCTCGTCTTTTCAGACGATCCAAGTTAGGAGCCAATTTTCGATTCCTGCGAAAGAAATGAACCGGTGACCTGTCAAATCGTGCTGCATCTATCGGAACAATCAGTAATCAGAAGGAGCAATGTCCGGTGAATACGGCGGGTGCGGTAAAATATCCCACTTTAGCGTTTCCAAATAATTTTTTACGACTTTTGCGACATGAGGCCGAGCGTTATCATGCAGAAGAATAACTTTGTCATGTCTTTGTTCGTATTCCAGCCGTTTTTCTCGTAATGCACGGCTCAAAGGAATCAATTGTAGCCTATACCGATGGCCCGTAATGGAATCGCCAGGTGGTAGCAGCTCATTGTATACAATTCTATGTCTTCGAATTTTTTTGGCTGTCCAGAGCGAGGCTTGTCTTCAACGCTGAAATCACCATTCTTGAAGCGTCGAAACCATTCCCTACATGATTTATCACTTGGAGCATTGTCACCATAAACTTCTACAAGTATTCGATGCGCTTCAGCTGCACTTTTCTTCCAATTAAAGCAGAAAACTAAAACCTCCTGCAAATGCTGCTTAGTTAACACAAAATTTGATATATTCAACACAGTAAAAACAGGGGTTTTGTATGAAACTCAAAGCGATATAAACTGAATATTATTGACAGATGTCTAACCTCTCTGAAACCACAGAAATCAGCTGTCACTATGAAACATTCATGACAGCCAGAACCATCTTTTGAAAACGGATCGAACTAATATGTACTTCCAATAAATAGTCGCGAAAAGAAAGAATCTGTAAAAAGAAATATTAAGAAAGTTTATTAAAGAAAGTTTATTCAAAGTATTGTCCTTCGGAAGCTACACATTTTTCCCACTTTTTGGATAACACATGGATTCCGCGGTGAAAAATTCAGGTTCTTTCGACGCGATCCAGTCATCGGGCCATTTTTTGATATCTTCGAAAGAACTGAAGTGCTGCTCAAAAAGGCCATGCTGCATCGACCGAAGCAAATGATAATCTGAAGAAGGAACCGTCTGGTGAATAGGATAGGTTTGCAGGCGTTTTTCTTTGAATACTCGATTCAAATTTGAGTAATTTTCGTCGGTAGCGCTCAGCATTGATGGTTTGACTCGGTTGCATCAGCTTGTAATACACCGACTTGATTCCACCAAATGTGCAGCATGACTTTCTTTCCATGAATATCTTGTTTTGGCGTTGATGTTGATGGCTCGCCAGGACGCAAACATGATTTCTTGCACTTAGAATTGTCGTAACGAATCTATTTTTCATTGCCAGTCCCAATGCGATGTAACAACGACTTCCGTTTTTATCTTTGAAGTAACAATTCACAAATGGTTAAACGTTTCGCAATGTTTCTTTCTCTCAATTCATATGGGATCCAGTTTCCTAGCTTCTGATCATTTTCACTGCTTTTAAATGTTTGCTAACAGTTGACTCATCGACATTTAGTGTTTCCGACAACTCTTTTTTTATTTAATACTGAGGATTATTAAGAAATTAACATTAATTAAATATTGACAATACTTCAGTAATGATTTGGCCAATATTTAATCATTGGTTAATATATTTTAAAGTATTTATATACATAAAAAGATTGTATGCGTTATTTTATTGATGTTAATAATAAAATAAAAATAATGAAAGAAGAAAGAAACGAAATAAATACATACTCAGGATAGTATTGAACCTGGGTGATCTAGTTAGCAGTGAGACATCCTAGATCTTTTAATACCGCAACAATTGCTTGGTGCATGCATACTATCTACTATATGTTCACTGTTTCCTCACTATTTAATTACTGCAAATTCAGTAACTCAATAATAAATTTTTGTAGGTATCTTTTGTAGGTATCTTTGTCACTACTGTGTTATTAAGCATTAGAATTTAAGTATTCATATTAATGATAAGATATATTTAATCACTGCAATTCTGAACACTGAAATATTTGGAATCTGCAAGCTCGATAATTTAATCATTATTAATTACTAAGAATTATATTTCAAATATTCAAAATAAGTAATGAATCACTAGTTTAGCAGTAATAAATTTCTGTAAGCGTGCGTACATACTATTATAAAACAATTGGATCGTTAGTAAAACTTATAACTTATAACTCGATGGAAAAAGCTTCAGAGCATATAGAGCATTACAAAATCGAAAATCGAGTGCTCTCTACGATTTTACCTGTTATAATGTGATTTGCTGCGTCCAGTCGATCCATACTTTCGTTTAGAAGATAAGTTTTAGCTCCAATTGAAAAATTTTTACATAAGAATTTAATTTGATTAAGATTTAATTTGATTTTGAATAAGAATTTTAAAGATAAGAAAGATAACTTTATAACGTATATCAGCAGATTAAGGTTAGTGTTACTTTCTAATGAAAGTGAAAGCATAAAATAGACTTCTCACTTATTGGAAGTAGGTATCAGAATACATATGGAATCTCATATCATTTAAGTCCATTACATATTCGGATTCTCGTTGATCGTCAGGTGGCATCTCATCTGACAAATTTTTCATTTTTTCATTTCGTATATTCCACTCGTTGAGAGAAAATACGCCAACATTTGATTAGCTACGAAAATTTTCCTTTGCACTTTCAGGAATCTAAAAAAGAGATACTCCGGGGCAAATTAATTCAACGGACATATTGAACGGATATATTGAACACGCGTTTCGCTTATATGTTCATCGTGAAAGAAACATTTGAAGGAAAATAAATTTCTGAATGTTTCTCTTAATACACAAGAAATTTTTCTATTTCTTAAATGGAATATTTTAATAGGACTTCACCGCTGTTTCCGACAAAATAGGTAAAGTAGTGAATCTCCTATGAGTGACGTTTGTTCCAATTTATCTACATTTTTCTTGTATATTCAATAGACTTCAGTTCTCGCTTCAATAATTAATATACTCTCACACGCGCTTGCGAAACCATTCGGCTGAGAAACTTTAAAGTTTAGATCTCACCTCGGTTTTCTACCTGACATTCGTAGCAATCCGTCAATGATCAAAGCTGGCATTATGTGGACCAGTAACATTAGTAAATAATAGGAGAAGAAACTCTTTGTAAAAGTTACACCAGATCATATTATTTAAAAGAACTTTCTTCAGACCATGCAAATTAATCTGTTTGATCATCTCTTGCGTCATAGTCGTAGAGGGAGTAGCAGCGCAGTTGTATACAAATGAAAGATCGTTCCATGTTTCAGTGATAAAAATTATAAGTAATTCTTTATTTCGTTATTTGTCGCATGAGAACAACAACTACTAAAACTGCCTGTTTTTTCCTCAATTAAAAGAACTTTGCGATACTTGTGATATTACGCTAAACTCATTTAATGGAATATGATATATCATACGTTATTCTTGCACATGTTTCCATGCTGCAACGATCATAGCTTTGATGATGACATCGACCGGCACATAATTGTTCCGCGTGATTGGATCTACATAGAAAAGTCTCAGCATTTCTTTTCCCGTGTCGACAAATATTGCGAGCGGCCCGTTGAAATTGTCCATCCTTTTATGGGCTCGTTTAATGATGCCATGACTAGGTGAGAAATAAATTTGTGAAAAATATTTTTTACAGACGAATTCGTCGATAAAAATTAAGATTCAGGTTAAAGCGTTGAATTGAAAATATGCCAGTTTTTGAAAATACAAAAAACGCATGAGAATATGGTTTAAAACCAGCCTTAAAGCCAAGAAGAAAAACACGAAGATTTTCTAAGTCATTTTCGTTAAGAATGTTGACATTTGGTAATAGGTAACAGGAGATTAACGTGACAGGCGTAAACACATTAACTTTTCCAATTGGAAAATGACTATTAGAAAAAATTGAAAGTTATTTATAATTCATGAAATTACAGATAAGAAATTAGTTAAAAAAAATTCGTTGAGATGAGAACTATGACTGTAGAACAGTATAAGGTATACGGTGTAAGGTGTACGGTGTAAGATATACGGTATATTTGTTCGTAATACTGTACCTAAAGAGGGTCTATAGATTACGCACGGCAATGATCGAGGGGAGTAATCGACTATTATCTACTCCGCGTCTTTTGGAAAATATATAATGATTTGGCATCGTGCTTATGTATTTACGATACTTATATATGCTATTTACAATCAACTGCCGTTATATATTCGCAATGTCTTTGTTACTGATGCATAAAATTATATATTCATATCTGTAATGTTAATAAACATCTAGTCATATGATTTATATAATCATCACATCAATATTCATACGTATGTATTGTCACATCCTTGACGGTCCGCGACATGCGCAGCGGAAGCGGCTCCGCCACGCTTAGAAGTTAATTAAGCCGAGAAGAGAGATCGGAAGGTTTTACGCGTGGTTTTAAAGTGAAATCGGACTAACGGGATTATAAGAAAAGAGACAAGAACAAAATAAAACGATATAGTAATATAATTTATTATCGTCCTCGCGAAATTCAGATTATTCTTGGTCGAGATGGCAACAAGTTTTTCGCAATGACCCGAAGGATTAGAATAAGATTAAATGCGTCAGACTGTATTGAAGCATGGATACTGGTTCGCGTTATCATTATTATTTTATAAAGATGGGGTTACTTTCGATGTCGGCTGGTTCAATATATTAGATTGAAAGAAGTACTTTGCCCTTGAAGGAAGAGGGAAACAGGCTGCAGGGTTGAGATTTCGCACAATGTCTGGCACTTACCGATGCATCACACGAATTTTCTCAGAGATGCGATTTCTCGTGATTGACTGGATACCGACATCACTAAGAACCGCGAAGGTTGAAAAGGAGTCCTATACTCAAAACTTAGGACTGAATCTGAGAATTGACGACTAAAGACTTGGGACACTGAACTTGGAACTGGGAATTCTGGACTGACTGCTTAAAGACGAGGGTTTTATTTTTAAGCTCGTCCTAGTCTCTCTCTTCTTTCTGCAACTGCAGTGGTCAGCATTTTCGTTGGGAACACCAACGGACTTGGTGTTCCACGGTGGTTTTATGTTTATAGAGATAAGACGAGAGACGGATCATGCATATCCGTTCTCACGGAGCGAAAAAATTTAGTTTATCTAAATCGCACATGACATCTAAAAATCGCATAACATAACCCATTGCATACACCGAGCATGATCGGTGATTCAATAAGGTCAGAAGGCGCAGAATTTCGGATCAATTTTGAATTTTAATACGGGGGAAATGAGGGGAGTTATGAGATTTTCTATAAATGGTAAGTGACGCGGGGATTAGACTTTCGCGCGCTGATAAGTCACGCTCACGGAACTTTCAAGGCTGATTTTTAAAGTGATTCTTATTTTGCTTAAAATTTGGTAGTCAGTGTGCGTAACGATANCACTTCCCGAAAGGTCTGCGACATGTGCGACGGGAGCGGTTCCGCTGTTCTACGTAGGTAAGTCGAGAGGAAAGGTTACGGAAGGCTATATGCGTGGTTTTATATAGGATCGATGGAATATGACATAAAAAAAACTGGTGAGAGCGGGCGCTCGCGTCAAGATAGCGACAGGCGGCGAGTTATGAGTTGCTGAGCCTACATTAGCACGTGATGAGGAGGAAGGAGAGGCCTGAGGTAGATTTTGAAAATCTCGTGAGCTTAACTGATCACATTCTAATCTCTTGCTTACGAACAATGCTTTGTGATACGCTTCCGTGAGGCTATTATATCATTCCATGCGAATTTCAAGACGATATTCGGGTGGAAGACTGTCGAAAAAGGAATCTAGGAAAAAGCATGGGATGAAGTATTAGTGTTTATGTAATTGCATGACACTGCAGAAAGAAGTAAAAATAATTTTTATAAACTGTCGATTTATTGAATAATAGTAATATACAATAACAATCGCAATAATTCAATCACGTGATACAACGCGACATGATACATGCTTCAAGGTGGATCTATTTTGATTATTTCAACTTACGGTATTATGCATTGATAGAAAATATGAAATATTATATTTTAGTAATGAAGTAATTTTTGAAAATTATGTACTAGTCACAAATGTTGAATATCATAGCTTGTTATCATCGTTGAAAGTCAGTTTACATCGTTACATAATGTTCCGTAAATTATCCATATTATTAAGAAGATACAGGTTAGCGTTTTCACGATTCTGTCTATCCAAATCATTCTGAAATTACCGGAAATGAAAACATCATTTTATTTATGTAAACAACAATCACAACTCACGAGTTATTTTAAATGGAATGTAGGTATATTTTGTAACTACTGTACTATTAAGCATTAGAATTTAAGTATTCATATTAATGATAAGATATATTTAATCACTGCAACTCTGAACAGTAAAATATTCGGAATTACCGCAAGCTCTATAATTTAAGTACGAATTATTAACAACAGTAATTTAAATATACAAAATAAAAAATTGATCATTAGCTTAGCAGTAATAAATTTTCGTAACATACAATCTATTAACATTCCTGTACAAATATACTAATTATAAAAAAAATTGGAATCGTTAGTAAAACGTACAACTTATAACTCGGTGGAAAAGCTTCAGGGCATATAGAGCACTACAAAATCGAAAATCAACTGCTTTCTGTGATCTTACCTGTTATAATGTGATTTTACTGCGTCCAGTCGATCAATACTTTCGTTTAGAAGATAGGTCTTAGCTCCAATTATAGAATTTCTACATGAAAGATAAGAAAAATGACTTTATAACGTATATCAGCAGATTAAGGTCAATGTTATTTTCTAATGAAACTGAAAGTATACAATAGACTTCTCACTTACTCGATGTAGGTATCAGAGTACATATGGAATCTCAAATCATTTAAGTCCTTTGCATATCCGAACTCTCGTCGATCGTCATGAAGCATATCATCTGACAAACTTTTCAATTTTTCATTTTGCATATTCCACTCGTTCAGAAGAAAATATGACACAATTTGATTAGCTACGAAAATTTTTCGTTGCATTTTCAGTAATCTAAAAAAAGAGATACTCAGGGGCAAATTAATTCAACGAATATATTGAACACGCGTTTCGCTTATGTGTTCATTATGAAAGAAACATTTCAAGGAAAAGAAATGTCTGAATGTTTCTTTTAATACATAAGAAATTTTTAGTATGTTTTAAATGGAATATTTTAATAGCACTTTGCCGCTGTTTCCGACAAAATAAGCAAAATGGCGAAACTCACATGGGCGACATGACGTTTGTTCCAATTTATTTACATATTTCTTGCATATTCAATAGACTTCAGTTTTCGCTTCAATAACTAATATACTCTAACGCATTTGCGAAACCATTCGGCTCAGAAATTTTAAAGTTTAAATCTCACCTCGGTTTTCTACCTGACAGTCGTAGCAATCCGTCAATGATTAAAGCTGGCATTATATGGACTTGAAACATTAACAAATAATAGAAGAAGAAGCTCTTTGTACAGGTTAAACTAGGTGCCCAGATCATAGTTTTAAAAGGAAATTTTTTCAGAGCATCAAAACTTAATTGGAAGATCGTCTCTTGTGTCACAGTCGAAGAGTGAGAAGCAACGCAGTTGTACACAAATGGAAGATCGTTCCGTGTTTCCCTGATAAAAATTATAAGTAACTCTTTGTTTTGTAATTCGTTCTATGAGAACAACAACTACTAAAATTGCCCGCTTTTTTCTCAATTAGAAGAATTTTGCGATTCTTGTGATATTACGCTGTGCTTGTCTAATGGAACATGATATATCATACTTCATTTTTGACCCATGTTTCCATGCCGCAACGATCATAATCTTGGTGACGATATCGACCGGTATATAATCACTACGCGTGATTGGATCTATATACACAACTCTCACCACTCCTTTTCCTCCGCCGATGAATAATGCGACTGGCCCGTTGAAATTGTCCATCCATCCTTTTATGGGTTCGTTCAATGATGCTGTGACTAGGTCGGAAATAAATTTGTGAAGAATATTTTTTAAAGACGAATACGTCGAGAAAAATGAAGACACGGGTCAAAGAATTTAATTGAAAATATGCGAGTTTCTAAAATTACAAAAGTCGCACGAGAATAAGATTTGAAAAGCCTGTCTTATAACCATGAAAAGAAGCACGAAGATTTTCTAAATCATTTTCATTAAATGACTGTGGAAATCCAGTAATAGACAGGAGATTAACGTGACAGACGCAAACACATTAACCTTTTCCATTGGAAAATGATTATAATAAAAAATTGAAAGTTATTTATAATTCATGAAATTCCAGATAAGAAATTAATTTAAAAAAGAAAATTCAATAAGATGGTAACTATGACTATAGAATATTAGTACTGTGATCAAAAAGTATGTGAATTTTATTTATAAAAAACAAAATAGCAATATAATCATCAAAATTATTATAGACTCCTTCAAATTAGACCCCACGCAAAATCCCCGTGTTGGTTTTTTACAATTCCGGCCGTTTCTTACGGATTGCTTAGCGGGAACGCCTCTTGACAGACAAGTAGTATTCTCCATTGATTTTTTGATCAGTTGGAAAGAATTGCTGGTGCACAACACCGTAATGATCGAAGAAAACCGTGAACATGACCTCGACTTTTGACAGCAAACGGCGAGCTCTCTTTGGTCTTGCTTCATTTTTCAAGTGCCATTCCGATGATTGTTGCTTTGTTTCGACGTAATGATATACCCATGTTTCGTCACCCGTTATGATCCGTTTCATGTATGTGCTGTCTCTGGATACAGCAGAAAACATTTCAGACAACACCAACACTCGATTCTCTTTTTGGAGAAAATTCAGGTTTACCGAAATCAAGCGAGATACGACCCGTTTCATATGCAGTATATTGGACAAAATGTGCTCGCACGATCCAAATGATATACCAATCTATTATCTCTCGCACATTGAATCGACGATTTTTGAGCACAAATTCTTTCACTTTCTCAACGTGAGCGTCATCCGTTGACGTTTATGGTCTTCCAGAGCGTGGGTCGTTTTCAACAGATTTTCGGCCTTCTTGAAACTTCTTAAACTATTCAAACGTACTTATTTTCGACAAACAATCATCGCCATAAGCTTCTTGCAACATTTTGAATGCATTTGACAACGAAATTTTGTTTGCAACACAAAATTTCAAACAAATTCTTTGCTGCATATTTTTCGACAACGTAAAAATTGCCGCACACAAATTCTTCACTGACATAAACAACTGCCATTCTCAAAGGTTTCAAGGACCGCCATGATATTTTCACCAAATGCAAAAGACATGTGTACCAACTTAAAAAAGCTAACGTATTTGATTTACAGTTTTCCCGCGATTTTCGATAAATAAAGTTCGGAAACTTTTTGATCACAGTATAAGGTATACGATATAAGGAATAATGGTAGAAAACATATATATGCCGCATAAATGCAGTATATTTATTCATAATACTGTACCTACAGACGGTCTGCAGATTACGCACGGCAACGATCGGGAGTAATCGACTATTACCTGTTCCGCGAGTCTTTTGGAAAATATATATTGATTTGGCATCATGCCTATGTATCTACAAAAAATTTGGTATTTAAGCGTTTCCAATTGTTCCAGAATATATTCTAAATATATCAAAAGTTGTTGAATTTACTATTACAAAAATCACTTTGAATATAAATTTGAAAAATTTATTAAGTTCTAATTGCAAAATCGTTCCCTGAACGATAAATTGTGATGTCACCGTTGTAAAATCACAAGTTATTCAGATGTATAGAATGTCCTCAAACCAGTAATGCATGCAGCAATATTATCGAAACAGGTTTTCAAGCTTACTTTGGCTTTAATACTTCCAAAATGTCATCGTCCAAAGCTTCAACAATTTGAATTGTTTTTCTCCAATCTGCTTCCACTGGATGCACAGTTTCATCAATGACTACTTCGTCCACTTTTGAATATGCCGTGCTAATGTGCACCAGCACCTTTCAAGGATAAAATTAAATACAATATAACGACTAATAAAACTCTATATTAATCAAATATGTACTTAAAAATTTACTCGCAAAATTGCAAAATTTCCGCCAGCGAAAA